CTAAGATACATTGATGAAGTTCTTCTGGGAGGTATGGTCCCATTCACTCCATTTACTGGGGACAACTTGGTGTTCATTCATATAGCTTGTCTCCATTACTTGGAGGATGTAGGGATTACCACAATCAGTTAACCAACACGTTCTCCTGACATGGAACCCTTAGAACTCTTATGGGACATGATAAATAGAATGGTTAGACCGCTTCCAACAAGCATTAAACAGCTTCAAACCGCTCTTGTTGAAGAGAGATATTCTCTTTTACAATATAAAGTCCGATTGCTTATTTACTCGATGCCTAGAAGGCTTTAGGCCTTTGTGAGGCCAAAATTGAATATTTTCATTAAAATTAATTTCTTTTGATCTCGTTTAATTTGGTTTACATTAAAATATTTATGCTGTAATTAATATAATGATAAAAATACATATAGTTTGAAATAAACAACAAAATATGAGTGTCCAATTTTTTTTGTGTATTTATCCATACATGCTCAGTTTTTCATGTGTGAAGTTAATGTCTGAACAATTAACTGAACTAAATGCACTGTTATATCTAACGGAAGTATTTGGCCTGAGACCTGGGACCTCAGTTTTCTCCTGTCAACTGACAGTCCATTCAGGTAATCGTTAAATCACCTCAGTTGAATAGAAAATTACTAGAAAACTTATTATTTTGCTCTGCTTTTCATTTTTCCTGGAAGCTGAAGCACTGCCAAAAAGCAAAACGCTAATTTTATTGTCACCCATGCTACACTCATTTCATGGCAATATAGAAAACTGTAAATAGGGAAAAATAGATGAATTGGACACAAACTGAGCTGTTACTACACAAGATCAGTTCTGTTCTGGATTCAGACACATTGACAAAAAATTATTGTTCATGGGGATTTTATGACTTATTGAAAAATGATTGGCAGCATTAATGTACCTTTATTAGTTTTGAGCTAGGATTTCCCACCAGCTGTGATTTTTGTTAAATAAATTCCTCGACATAGATTAGCTTAAATAATTAATATTTGAGAATAAAACAAATTTTTTGCCAGTAATATTTTTTACAAAAGAAAATATTCCATGTGCTCATTTTTCTCTGTGATTGAGTGTATGTGGGAACAGATCAAAGTTACATCAAGAAATGCTAATGGAGTCTGATTATGAGAATCGGTTACATAACAAGAGAATTTTTTATGCTTTGAATGGAGCAATAGAAATGGTTGTTAGTTGGATTTCAGACCGAAAGCAATAGTTCATATAGTTATCATAAAAAGTAGTGTTTTTTTTTTTAACATTAAGCCGTGTTTTTTAACATTTAAAATTATAGTCTGCATGTGCGTCATTTATAATAGTTCTTTAACTGAAGCCGAGTCTAAAAATGGGACATGGTCCGTTTCGCTGAGTTTTTAACAATTAAGAATAAATAAAATTATCACCACCTCAGCAAAACTAAACCGTTCCATTTTTTGATCTGACCTCATAGCACTCTACTTTGAAAAAAAAAACACTTTTTACCAAAGAAAAAAAACTGCTGATAGCTTTTAAACATATTTCATTTGAAACAATGAACTGGTAAGGGAAAACATTATAATTTTAACTTAAATTATTTTTTATGTTTAAATATGAATATCAAACAACGGTTTGTGATAAGGTTCAATTTATTAAAGTTTAAAACAAGAAATTTTTATTTTAGTTTTTCTGTAGAGTTTTTATGTGTGAAGCATTAGTATAATTTGTGTAAATTAGATAATGTTAATGTCTGGAATTATCAGTTAAGATAATTTATTGTGGTTTCTTACATCGCTTTCTTTCGATTTGTTATAACTCGTGTTAAATTGAATAAATTGAGTATTTTCGATTGTTATCTTATTAAATATATAAATGATTAGTTCTTCAATAAGTAATTATAAATGAAAGGTATGCTGTAAAAATAAATGAAAAATACAACACAAACAAACTACATTAGGAAATTCATATTTTTCAAATGACAGGGCAGCTTTCACACATTCTTCTCCATTCAGTTCCAAATTGTCAAGAGAAAGCTAGAGATGAGTCTACTACAAATATTGACATTTATTTTAGAAAAATAGAAAAACGGGGGTCAAAAATTGTTGTAGCGTTATTGAAAGTGAAGGGCACACATTGAGTTGAGGCGATTCGTACCTGTGAAATGTTGGAGTCTAGATCTCTCGTCACCAACAGGGAATCTTCTGCCACTTGGCAAGGGAAAACAAATCCAATTCGCCCGCCACCACACCACATGGCTGCTGTACGACCACAGGGTATGTACAAAAAAAGACAAAGTTCAAACGTCGGTATAAACTAAAATGGCAAGTTTGATTGTAAATGATGTTAGCTTCTCCAAAGCAATTGCCTTTTTTTTAAAAAAAAAAAAAAAACAAGCCCTGCTTTTTTAAGTTATCTTTTATTTATTTTTGCATATCTGCCTTTTTAGCACAAATTAGTGATCATGTCAGAGAGGGAAAGTGATGAATCGTTCCATCCTTTTTTTCTCTAATCCTTCTGCCTATTTCTTTCAATAATTTACTGCTTAATAAATAACTACACAAGGCCAATGTTATTCATTGACATCCACTTGCTTATAATTTTGTATAGGACTAATTACACAGGGGATTGTGTGTGTAAATGTTATTATATCATCATCGCTCAAAGCTATGTACAAGTTATTCTATAAATTATAAACGCATACATTATAAATATATGGCAAAAATTAACTGTATAAAAAATCCGTCCATACTGTTTGATGTTTACCTTGGAGAATGACTCAACTGAATGTTTTGAAAAACAAAATACCATATCAGGCCAAATTGTATGGCATGCTGTTGACGATGAAAAAAAAATTGCTTTATATTCATTTCTTATCTGTCAATATCGTTGTCAGCTACTTTTATAAAATTGTACATTTTATACCCGTGGAGGAGATAAACCAAAATTGATATGTGTCCTTAGATCACCAAAAAAATATAAAAAGGCCTAACTTTAAATTATTCTCAGTGGCAAGAAGCGAATGTAAATATTGAATGATTTGAATAAATAATGTGACACGATTCCACCCCTCATCAAAATAGGGTTTATTTTGACCTAGAAGAAACATGAAAGTTTTATGTGTTGTATGACGGCATTCTGAAATGGGGCAATTGATTATTTGAAACGAGGCTTGACAGATCTTGCTAAAATCATCAGTCTCAAGTACTTTTCCAAACCATAGAACAAGGCACTTCTCATTTTTTTTCCTTTATAATTTATTACAATTTGCACACTATTAATTCTTGAATGAGATTTGTTATACTATTTTATACGTTCAGAACATACTTTCAGGATTGATACTGGGTTTCTTATTAGGTTATTATTATATTATTTTATATTTACTCACAGATGAAGATGAACTTAATAAGTAACCCAGTTCTAGAAATAATACAAGTTAAATGTTTCCTATCCCACAAATTTTAACAAACAAGTTAATCGAAAAGATTTGGTATATGTGTTGATAAATTATGTCCCCCCTAAACAAATAAAATAGAATGGACGATATCAGCAATAGTGAATTTTACTTGACGGTTTGGTAAAACTTGCTTCCTTGTATAACATTTTTTCAATCTTTAAATTCATTTTCTCTTCCTCTTCGCATTCGTATGCATGTGTGTATTTATGTAAGCTTGGAGGTTTGTATTGTTTGTACCAGAGGCCATAAAGCGATGGTTGATTTATATAAGCTCCAATTTACATATGCATATACATCATACACACATATACAGGGTTGAGTCTAACACTTCTCACAGCCCACCGACAACTCCGTTTTTTTACTGGTGGGCAAAAATCACCCATCCCGGATGTTGTCAGTCCGGGGTCAGACCTCGTCTTGTATGTCCAGAGGTTGGGCTCCAGGGGTTATCAACAGCCTAGGTTCAGCCCCCAACGCAATCAGTTCCTAAGATCCCCATTCATGTTCAATCTTAAATACATTCTTTCTTATTTACGTACCATTCTCTCAGGGTAGTAAATCAATATTCCTCCATCACCCTTTCAGTGATTTTTTAACTTTGTTTAAATTTATTTGTGCGAAGGCAGTTTATTTAAAATTTTCCTGAATTTTTAAAAAAAATATATATACGCAATCATTTGTACTTTAAACAAACAAAAAAAAAACAATACTAGTACAGAATCTTTAAAATGATATTTTAAATTGTTCATGTTTTATTAATATTCTTTTCAGTGGATTTTATATAAAATGTATGAAAATGTGCCCATTGCTCAATACAGATGATGCACTTAGACTTAATTGCGTTCTCATGGTGATGTAATTAGCAAGTCAATTTTGATTATCTAACGGTTTTTGAAGGCTCTATTATTTATTTATCATTCATCTTCACTTCTCCTTCAAGGACAGAACTAGAGAACGTTAAGTCATTTCAGATTTGTTTTTATAATTTTTTTATGATGAAGAGTTAATGTTAAACTGAAATATATAGGGTTTGGAAAAGTGTAATTAATCCCTTCTATGTCTAAATATTCTCTTCCAGGCTAACAACCGAGAGTTAATTTTATCTTCTGTTAAAAATGATTTAATATGAGAATTCAGTTTATAATAGATATTTTACAAAAACTAGTCTGATTTGAGTTTAAAATAAATACATGTTACATACACAGTTTTATTAATAGTGTTTTATTACAAATTTAATACTGTTAAAAAGGTAATAATCACATGTGTCATTTCCTTTGATAAGCTTTGTCAGTTTAGTGATATATTTCGCAATCAGAGTCCACTCCTGCAATTAAGATGGACTTGCATTCATTCGATCTTAATCTTAAGAATTTTTTTTCTTTTGACAGTACGTAACGATCTGATGCACACCTTGCTTTGCAATTTGCTGATATTTATTACATTTAATTGCATATATAAAACTGAAAGGAAATTGTATTTTTAAATACAAAATGCAAATTATTAAAATTTAAAGGCATTTGTCTAATCTTGATTTGCTGTTACAAGATTTATATCAATTCAATAAATTCAATGTATGTATTGAATATCATTTTGCATGAGTTAGCATTAATTTGCTCAAAATAAATCAATAAATAGCTAAAGCTGCTCTGCTGAGAAATGTTTTTCTTTTAAATTCAGTAATAAACAACATCCGAGTAGTTAAACATGTCATAATAACTTGTCCTTGTCGGGACCAACTTTGACAGGTAAAATTTTTGTTCACTCCTCTTAAGAGTTTTTCACTTGTTATATTTCAAGATTAGATAAGGTAAGGGATAAAGAATAGATTAATTGTTTGTGCCGTGAGTTGCATGGAAGGTTTCCTGTTAAACCTTAAGTGTGCTACTTTTAATTTTGATGTGGAATTTATTTCTTGTGTGGCTGGGTATTTTGTATATAATTATTAAAAGAATTATATAAGGATGAAACGTGATCTGTATGTTTCAATGAACGTTCCCAGGGAAATCCAGCCAGGAAGATGGCTGTTACGTCGTTGCAAAGTACGACTACGCTGCACTCGGTCCTGAGGAGTTAGATTTAAGGAAAAATGAACGTTACCTTCTTCTCGATGATTCCAAACATTGGTGGAGGGTCCAGAACTCGAGAAATAATTCTGGCTACGTTCCGAGCAACTATGTTAAAAAAGAGAAGCATTCTTTGATAGACAGGTATATCGCAGAATTTGTTTAAGTTTAAGTCAAAACCAACATTGATTTAGCATGCTCCCTTTCAGCATCAAGAGGAAAGTGAAGAAAAGCGGGAGTGGGAGCGGCTCCAAGACGCTTCCGAGCAGCAACATGTCGTGCAGGGCAATGGAATCACCGACAATGGCCCGTAGGTTGCCTGCAGACCCTTCTGAGGTCATTGGGATGGCCACAGTCAAATATAATTACCAGGCACAGCAGCCGGATGAACTTTCATTAATCAAAGGCACAAGGATACTTATATTAGAAAAGAGCAATGATGGGTAAATATGTGTTTCTTTTTCATTTTTCTTTCTTCTCGAGCAGGAGTCAGAAACGTGGAAATTGGCAAGTTCAAAATGTTTTTGATTGGTCGCTTTGTAGTTTTTGAAATTTGGCTATTCATTTTTTTTCCTCATATCTGGTGCTGAATTTTATATACGGAACACTTTACAGATGGTGGCGGGGGCAGAGTGGGATGACAGCTGGCTGGTTTCCTTCTAACTACACCCAAGAAGAAGCCGATTCTGATGATGCACTTCACACTTACGCCATGGCTGAGAATGTACTCGACATCGTCGTTGCACTTTACTCATTTTCTTCTACAAACGACCAGGAACTGTCTTTTGACAAAGGTGACAGACTTGAAATCATCGACAGGCCACAGGCCGATCCAGAGTGGTACAAAGCCAGAAACAGCCATGGCCAGACCGGTCTCATTCCCAGAAATTATGTTCAGGTTTGCATAAAAAAAAATGAACAGAGATTATATTTTAATTTCAAATACTGTTATGCAAATTCTTTGTGCTTGCAGGAGTTGAGTGAATATTTAACGCAACCCCTTAGAGAGGGATCAGGAGTTGCAGGCAGTATTTCTGCAGAGAAACCTCACCTAGTTGGAAAAGAATGGTATTATGGAAACATCTCCAGAGCACAGTGTGATGCGATACTCAATCAAAGTGGAAATGATGGAGACTTTTTGATCAGGGATTCTGAAACCAATGTAAGTTTTTTAGGTACCAGCAACATTCGTCCCATAAATTTATGTTTTTCTTGCTTAGATGGGTGACTATTCAGTATCGTTAAAAGCACCAGGGAGAAACAAGCATTTTCGGGTGCACGTCGATGGAGCTCTTTACTGTATAGGTCAAAGGAAGTTCCACACTCTCGACCAACTAGTGGACCACTACCAGAGGGCACCAATCTACACAAACAAGCAGGGCGAAAAGCTCTACTTGGTCAGACCCCTACCGAGGGCTAACAACAATTAAAGGGGAACTGTGGCATATAGTAGAACAACACAGTCATCAGTCGGCCAAAACATTGCTTTTACCTGGGTTGAGAAGCCAAATTCAATCTGGCCTTCTTGATTTCAACAATTGAAAAATCCTTCTGATTGTCAAATCGGTCTGTTTTTATTTGAACACTACATGCTTCTTTTGTTTATGCTCTCAAATATAGTGTAAGCGTTTATTTACAAAAGCAGAGATTAATTTACTACACTAGGCATAAGAATCGTTTTATATATATAATAAACAAAAATCAATGTGACAATATCTACATTTAGAAAGGACTTTCATTTTGGTAGTTTTTATGTATGTGTTACATTGCTTTGTTTTGTTTTGCTGTTTAATAAGTCAATTTTAATGATCAATTGAATTTATTAATCACTACAATTGATGAATACAATCTCTTTTGAGATATTACATTCTAGTCGTCTCATAAAGGAAAGGAAGACCCTTTTCATCCATACAGAAGTGTTGAAAAAACTTTCCTTTTTGTTGTTATTTTTTTACAAGTGAAAATTTTATTTATTAACTGTTCTTTTTTTTCTAACTATTTTAGTTTGTTTATTGCATAAATCATAACACACTCGTCTTATCCAACCATAGGCATTCGATGGGAAGTCCAGTTTGTTTTATCTCCAATTTGCATTTATGTTTGCTCTAAAAATAAGTCTGTCTAGCTGTATGGAAACAGAGTTGTGTCACGGGCTGAATCAAACCAAAGGATTCGAATGTGATATGCACTGACCGGGTTCGGCCGAGTCATTTTTGATACTTAGGAAAAATGTAAAATAAAAGTTTTAAAAAAAAAATAAAAAAGAGAGAAGGTCAAGGATTTCTTTTGTAATTTTTTATGAGGCCTGTTCCAGGCATAAATGTAATTTATATAGACAAGATATTTAAAATATATATAAATATATTTTTTGTAGTCCCAAAATTATTTTGTGTGTCGTGTTGTGTCAAAACAGTGGTTTTTCCTTCATTAATTAACTGTTTTTTGCTTTGCCGAGTTTATTTATTTATTTATGTTTTTTTTTTATCATCCTATTGCTCAATTTTTTAAAAGCTGATATATTTTTGCATCATTCCAACATTTTAATACTTTTTACGCTAGTGAGGTTAAGAAAATGTATTGCCCTTCTTCATTCTGTAAGATTAGGCTTTTTGAACTGGAAATTTAGACTGAGACAAAAACAACGAATTCACAGACCAAAATTTTTCTAGAGATTTAGGGATTCAAAATGTATTTTGAAAGTTTGAAGATGAACTGACCCTTAGATTGAAATCAAAAGCGGGGAAGGATCTTTTATTTATTGGCCAGGATTTCAATTTTAAATTTGGAAAAGTTGGTTTTGTTTCTAAGAACTTGCTGAATACCAAAATGCCTCATGATAGACTTGACTTGTTTTTTTTTTCTTTTTCTTGCTGCGAGAATAATTTTATCAACTTTATAATTTATAATTTTATCAATTCATTCACTTAAGAATAATGAGTTAGAATCCTGTCACTTTCTAACTTTATTTGTGCAAATCTTTCAATATTTCATTTCTTACCCCTGAGAATAATTTAAAAGTAGACCTTTTTTTATTTTTGGGGGATCTAAGGAGAAATAATAGTTTTACTATTTTATAAAATCTGCAGCTTGGTCATTGACATGCCACTCTTTCATTTAAGGTAAAGGTCCGACATCTCACAAATGGACTTTTTTCCCCTCAAAACACCTGCTCCCCGAGGGTTCATATATGTAATTGAAATACCATTGTAAAAAAAAGAATGAAACAGTTATAAAATATTTGTCTTCCTCAATGAGTGTGAATTAATTTTGAATCTACCTAAATGATATCACAAGTCATGCGCTTAATTTTAAGTTGTAAAAAACATTGGGATATTGACAGGGTGAATGTTTAATTTTAATTAAAAAAATAAAATCTTAGGCTGCTAATGTTCTTAAAGCTGTCTTCACAGATTGAGAAACAAGGCAATATATTTTTTGAACTTTTGACATTTATATCAAATACATTAAAAATTATCTAAAGTAATCTTTCTATTCGTTGTAGTACCAAATGTTCAAGTCATAGTTGATAGCTCTCTTTAAAATTATATAAAAATATACAGATCTTTTTTTTTACTTTAGTATTAGGTTTGACCAGAATGAATCAAAATAGTTCATATTGTTTTAAAGTACAAAAAGTCTAAAACCATTGAGATGTATACTTATTCTACATATCACTAATTTCATCTTGTGTTTTAAATATTGACCTACTTTTAATTCTTTTTAAATTAATAATCCAACGCTGTATTAACAAGTTTGAAAAATGCTTTCGATAAATTTAAAAAAAAATTAAAAAGCCTTTTTACTATTAAATGGAAAAAATTGCTTCAAGTGTATACAAGATCTAAAACTATTTTAAACATAAGAAGCAAAAAGTAAAATTATAGAATATAGTAAAGGTGTGTATAATGAATTAGTGTTTAATTAAATAATTACATTATTATGTGTAGATAATTAAATGTGTGTACTTTCCAAAGGATGTCATAAGATTGGTGTATTTGTTGCTTTCTTTTCCTATTGAAAGTCAAAAGGCAGTATATAAATGGTAAAATTGAATTTTGTATATATTTAAGAAATTGAATGCATAGCGGCAATTCTGTGCAGTAGGATATAAGGATGTACGAGATAATTGTGATGTACTATTTTCCTTTTTATTATCGTTCCAATTGGGTAAGAGTGGGAGGAACTAGCACGTTCTGTTTTGAGACAAGCACACAAGTAAACGTACTCCCTCTCCGTTTCGACGATTCAAATTCCCCTTGAATCGTTGAATTTGTGTTTTTTATCATTATCTTCACTTAATCATAAATTCAATGTGATTTCTGTATCAGTTGTATTCTTTAAAAAACATATGTATTCATAAAATTAGTGTTCTTCGATATTAAAGAAAATAAAAGTATTGGAATATTAAACGAGAAATTCATAACCTTTTTGTTCGTACCAATTTTTTTTTTTTCAACGAGATTTTTTCTTATTTATATACTTTATTTTTTTGTCTTTGTTCGCTACTTTTATTATTTTTTCTATCTTACCAGACTAATTATTGATAATTTAGGAAAACGTACAAAATTGAATCACTCTTACTATTGGGTTTTTTGTTTATTATTGGTTTTGTTACATATGTGTAGCTAATATAATTTGACAAGTAGAATATTTATTATCGGCAGAATAGTTTTTCTATGAAACCCTGATTTTTTTTTTTTTAATATTTAAATTACAGCGTATCAATGTCAATTGTGTCTTGTTTGAACATTTCAACATCTGCCTGGCTGTCTGCATGTATCATCTTTGTCTTAGGGTTAGGCTAAAAAAAAAGCAATTAAAAAAAGTTCAAACCGATTCAAGAATGATTGTCAAGAATTTGTAATTACCTTTGGATGCATGAGGATGAATGGAAGTTCGGCTGTTAATTCCCCGTTTAATGCTCCGAGGTATAGTTTCACTTTTACAGCATAAGAAACTATTATTCCAAAGCAGTCCTTTTGATCAGGCGACGCCAAGCTGCAAATAATAAATGGTTTAAACATACAACAAAATTTAAAAACTGCACACTTTATACCAATTGTTCCATTGTACATTAAAATTTTTCTAGTTTATCTAGTTATTAATCCTAATTATTAATGGACTTTTTCTAGTTGACTGCTTATTGATTATTGTCAAATTAGTTTAAAATATTAATGTTATGCAAAGTACAGGGTGATTTTATGTAATTTTGGATTTGCAGCTGAACCAATAAAGTAAAATAAAAACAAAATGACAGTCCAACTGCCTGCTGCTGCTGATGGATACTAGGAAATGGGTTTTTATTCCCCTTCTGGTTTATTGCCCTTTATTAAGTGCTAAGTTCAGTACAATTAGCTTGTGGGGCAACACTGCGGAAAGAGCACATGGTGAGGGTGGAGAAAAGTCAAGCGGGCAGAAGAAAGTGCGTTTGATCTTGTAGCGTTAAAATAAATAAATTGTTTTACAAACGAGTAGTGCGTTACTCAAACTATATCTACCCACAAGCTTGATCCTTCTTCTGAAGGATGTTCTCGCCAAGCAAATCTTGGCCATAATTGTAGTCAACAAATTAAACCCTTTTGATGGTACCACTAGAAGACTGGACCTTGACCAAGGTGAACCGCTTTATTAGTTCTGGTTCACCACCTGTGCACGCTAAGCAAATCACGACCAACCAAGCGATTGTCTTTCATCGGCCAAGATTGCTTAGTGTATATGCGCCTTAAGGAGTGCTGTCATTGACCAATGATACAATCCCATTCCATGGGTTTTCTTTGTATCCCGGGCCTTGCCTCCATTGAGCAGTTCTTCGCAACTGAAGATGATATGGGTGGCTGTTTCTTCCTCTTCATTGCATAACCTACAAATGGGGTCTTCATTGAATATACCCATGTTGTGTAGTTATTTTCTCATATGCCAGTGACTTGTCCTATTACTTCTATGAATTTATCCCTTTCTAACTGTTGCACTGAGTTTGCCAGTCTTGGTGAGGAGATGGTTTACTGCGTCTAACGCCCCTAGAGTTTATCCACTTCTCCTTTTGTCTTTTTTGATCCATCTGAGAAGGAGGATTCTATGTTTGCTTTTGCCACCTCAAGAATAGGTTCAGGGTGTTGCAGATCCTCCTATGGCCGGTGTGCCTTTTTGCTACCCAAAATTTCTTTGTGTCCTGGTACCCAAGATTCACCAGGTTGTGTTGTCCCAGGTTATGGAGATTTTGGATGCATTCACTGTCTAATTTTGATGTGATTTTTGTCCATGCTAATGCTTTAATGACTGCTTGGCTATCCAATCTTATAAAATTCTATTATCAGTATAACCTCTTTTAAGATTTTCTAAGGCACAAACTGGCATGTATTTCAGCTTGAAAGTCAGAGGTGTACTCTCTAATGAGTTTGATTGCTTATGTTTTGGGTTTGAACAGAAAATATCTGGATACTGCCTGTTGTCAGGTTGTAACAGATGAGGGATTAGGACTTTACAATTATTCTCAAAAAGCTTAACAGCTATGATGGGAATCCAAAACAACTGAGGAAAAGACAAGACCTTAACCATTCGGCCTCACAGTTTCCCGATTCTGTGATTGAATCATAGAATTATTGATGTGCCATTCTTCTCCAAATCTATAAGAACAGACTTTCTTTTAAAACAACTACATAGATAATTTTGTCATTCCTAAACTTCTGGTAAACTGTTTTCTGATGTAAAGTTTCTAATGAAATTTGTTTAAGTTTTTCTAATTTATGAAAGTTTGACAAGAATATAAAGCTAAAATTATATACAGTGTTGATGAGGCTAAGTTGGTATCCTGTCGTTTCAGTTGTCCATCCAATGCTATTCCTCTTCGGTCTCTATTGTTTGTCAGCTCAGGGAACAAATAAATTACTTTCTGCATTGAAGAACCTGGCTGTAAAGGACACCCTTCACTACAAAAATTTTAAAAAAAAATTAAAAATACAAATTCACATTAACAATATGTATTGTTTAGTACTCAGTTTCAACAGAGGCAATTGTAGTGCGATATTGCCCATTTTGGAAAAGCATGACATCAACGCCCTGTTGAATCATTGCCTTGATTTTCTTCACCACCTTATTACTGTTATTCCTTATACATATGTTAGCAGCAATCTTTTCTCCATGGTTGTACACCTACAATTGATGCGTTTTTACAAATCGGGCTAATTTTTATATATTTTTCTTATTACCTGTTTGTCCAAAACAACCTCGAGCTCCAGCTCTCCGGGACTGAGCATAAAGTCCTTTCTGACAACAGTACAAGGCTGTCGTCCAACCTTGGACGGCGCAAATTGAATTTTCCTTATTCCAAGTGAGATTGTGCTCCTTCTATGCGATCTATCTGTCTCGTGATCCCCGATGAACACCTTGACGAAGTATTGCACGCCACATGGCTCTCCCTGGTCCTCAGGCCCTGGCTGTATTGTTATTGAAGCTGGAGCATTTTGTGGGATTTGAAACGAGAACGGGAAAGCATTCGAGCCTAGCTTCTTTAAAAGTCTTTCCTGTAAAAAAGAAAAATAGATTTAGTAGAAAGCTTAAACATAAAAATTAAGCAAGTTGATTTAATATTACTTATTGGGTCCATCTTTAATCATGGGTTTGTTGAATTTCTCAGTAAATTCAGACCCAATAAGTAACCCAGTGATGGTTCAACATCAGTTCACCGATGTATGAACTTTAATTTAAAGTGTTTTTAAAAACTAAAAAAAAATCAATCATTGTTTCACCTGAAGCTTTGTCAAGTTGTTTTCTCTTTTTTCCGGTGGTGGATATATTTGTTCTGAACATAGGTAGAGGTCTTTTTGGAAGTTAAGGCCCATGACTTCGTCTTCCTCCCGGCCATACCGGAAGCTACAGACTATCTGTCCAAATAGCTTTCTGTCTGTTACATAGCACGAGTCGAGAAGTATGACACCATCTTAAATTTAATTGACTACATTAACGCTTAGAAATATCGCACTGTCTGCTTAGAAGGTGACATATTAAACAAAAAAATTATTTAAATTTTTTATAAGATAACTTTTAGAAAATTTATGATTTAAATTGTGACAAATAGTAAGTAGATTAATTACATTAATTATATTAATAAGATTAATTATATGGTTTTTCTTCTATTTAGGATGGGCGGTCGCATTGGGTAAGAGGAAAATTTTGAATTTGACTATTGAACTATTGACAAATAGTTTTTCTCTTACCAAACTGGCTGCACATCCCACAAGCAAAAAGCAAAAAACAATGCAAATAAGGCTTAAATTTATTAAATTGATATCAAATACTTCCAAGGTTCTTATAATATTTCATTAAATGAACAACAAAAAAATAAATCGATCAATTTTAACCAATTTTATTTTACAAATGTTATTGTTCTTCATTATTATCTATAGATTCACTCTTTAGATTAACTTTTGAACAAAAAAAATATATAATAAAAAATGTTACATGCAATCAACTTTTATTTGCTAAGGTATTCAGACTGCGCAGTTAATTGAAGATAATTTCATACCGACGGGTTCAACTGCTGAAATGTGATCCACAAAATCCCTTTTTCCAAGGTACACAGTGACTTTTCCGTTGGGGGAGATTTTCTTGAAAACTTTGAAATTCACGACCATTTTTAAGAATCACTTTTAGACTTAGAGTCAAATGATCACGTGCAATGGGACACGTTCGTATATATGAAGACATTGTGAGGCTTCTTAAACCAATTACCGAGAAAAGTGGATTAATATTGGCTTCGCATGAGGCAACTTGGCCTATTGTGAGACATTTGAGGTTCAGTTTAATCCACTTATTGACAGGCAGAAATTATTGCCCACTTTTAACCAAAAGAAATCTACAAACCAAATTATTCAATTCTAATCCGTCTACTAATAAAATTTAATAGTGTATTGATACAAGTAATGTTTGAAAATATTATCTCAACCTTTCCTACTATAAGAGAGAAAAAAATTTATTTCTAATATTAATAGAAAAAAGAAAACATAAAATTTAAAAAAAATTACTTTTAGCTCTAGTCCTGCTCCCAATAAAGAAGCCATTGCAAGAAAAATATTTTTTAGTTACAGGTATTAACTCCAGCTTCTTTTCTTATTCAATTTAGGTAACATACAAAAAATATCTTGTATACACAAAATAAATAATTTTGTAAAATTTTTGTATTTATTATAGCATTTTCATTATTTTCATAAATGATCCAGTTGTATATAATTGCAAATATTAAAATGAAATTCTACAAATAAAATTGTGTTAATTAAGCTAATTAAACAGTTAAATAATAAATTAAATAAAAATATATACATATCTTGTAAACAACCTTTTGATAGAGAAACTGAAACTCTGAGTAGAAAATTAAACTTTTGAAACTAAGGAATTTTTTAAGGATACTTATAAAGATTCAATTTTGGATGAATGGTTATAAACTAAGAGTAATCTTGTTTTCAATTTAACATAATTTTAGCCCAAGTTCTTTAGGGCTGCTCAAATTTGAACCAGGATCTTCCAGTGATGTCGGTCTCACCGATGCAGCCACTCATTACCTAAATTAATACATATATTAAAATTCAGGATATAAATCAAATTTGCAAATCAAATTTTTTTTGTAGTATATGCAATTTGATTTTTTCGATGAATTTCTTTTTTTATTTTTCATTCAACACTATTCTGCTCTGCTATAGAGAAATGCAGTACTTATTATTTTGTTAATGTTGAGAAATTGAGCTTTTTTCATGCTGAATGACTTCAGTTAAGTTGTCAAAAATTTTTTGGCCTAGGACTCTACCATCACTTTTTTTATCCTGAAACCTTTTTTTAAATTATAATTTATGTTTTACTTATCGTTCATTTTTGTGTTTTTTTAATAAAAAAGGCTTTAACATCACATACATTTTTTTCCAAAGCAATAATAGAAATGTATACATAAAGAAACATGTCAATTAATTTACATTTTCTTTGTTCAACACAAAGATCTATGACACGAGATCACGTCTCCCCACGAATGGAATGTTTATAGAAAGGCGTTTTCATGGCATAAAACCTGTGGACAACGTTAGTGGCACAAGAATTAATTTTGTCTAGTAATGCAAGCACTTTTTTTATAAGATGTGGTAAAATACTTTTTTTACTAGTATTTTCTGCAAAATGTTTTAAGCTATGTACAATATGACAATATTTTTTAAATATTTCTGTACCAATTTATGCCAATTTTATCATTTTTTCAATAAGAAACGTACATCAGAATACATTGGAAAAAAGCAGAGGATAAAAAATTTTAAGATATGGCTTTCTTCTCAACAGAGATGTATTTTTGTTACAAAAAAAAAAATAATAAATCAAGAATTCTAAGTGGTTTTTTAAGGTTTCCAGAACCTTGGAATGCTAAAAGAATTAGCTGAAGGTTGTGTTCTTTTTTTAATTGCCTAAACATCTAAAATAAAGATACGACCGGAAGAAAAAAATAAGATAAAAAACTAAATTATTACTTTTGATGTTTGTGTAGGTAAAGTAAATTAATTGAGTAGAACATAGAGCACATTACTTAAAAAAAGACAAACAAATCTAGTTATTTGAAATTTGGTCTTTCTATTCTCACTGCCTACAACAGAACTAAAGATAGAAAAATCCTGAAGAATGTCACCCGAGGTTAGGCGAACCAAATTGCTAGGAAATTACCAAATTTTATATTCATATGAACTCTCAAGACACCGGTGTTTGTACAGTTGGTATGTCAGGCATAAATTCAGGATCGGTAAAATCCTGGCCTTTACCTTACTGTGATCGGTCACCATGCCAATGCATGTTGTGCGCCTTACCATAATAAAATCAATTCATCCAACATTTGAATCATGATGGTTTATTTTGATTCAAATTGATATCTAAAATATTTGGAAGAAATAATAAAAAAATAAAAAGATTTAAATATTTTTATTTTCTTCAGTCTTACAGTTAAAGATATATATATTTATGTACACACTTATTTATCACACGGTAACTTAAAAACATGATGATTAAAGTACAAGATTCTACATACTTAAGGTAATTTAATTTTAAATACTAAATTTTAGGTACAACGTAAGTACAATCACCCAATCCTTAGGTCAAATAGTTAATTGTTTTCGATGAGACAAGCAACTTATAAAAATAAATATGTAAACCTTAAATATTTCACACAGAGACTAACTAATTAGAGCTTTGTGAATAACATGTGAATAACAGCCGAATATTAGTTTAAAAAATAAAAATAAAGAAAAAACGGTTAAAATCATTAATTAGTCAGCATAAAAATGTGATGTTTCAGTCTTGCAAACCAATCACTTTGACTTCTTGGACTCAGCCGAGCTGCAACCATTCTGTGCCAATTCCCGTTTCTGTTTCAGCTGTGCACTTTTTAGTTGGACCATAAGTTCGCTCGACTGCCACAGCCAGCTTGCCTAAAAAACAAAGTAAATAAATAAATGAAATCAAATCTTCAGTTTATCTAACTTTTTTTTAGTTAATTAAAATAATCTCTTGCATCTATCTAAATGCCTCTCCACTTCAAGTGTATTTTTTGACTAATGAGAACGACTGACTACGATATCAAATTTAATTCTATAAAGCTAGTCTCTTTTTTTTTTCTTATTTAGTTGAAATTATCTGTAGTATATTATGATGTACACAAATTCTGAATTGGAATTTTTGTAACACAAAAAATAGATGAAAGTTATATACATTAATATACAATCTACAAGGATATTTTCTGTTTTTTAACTAATACGTGGGTTTGTAATTATTAAAATTAAAAACTAGTAGTAATGGAGTTCCTGCCCTAAATGATAGTACAAGAGATAACATCAAAAAAACATATTAGTTGAGGAATTATATATTCAATCTTATTTGGAGACAATTTACAACTCAACCTACCTACCATAAAATGCGTTTATATTTAAAATTTTCAATTTGAAGATTTGAACAACAAATTGTTATAAATTCAAACATCACATTTCTCTGCGGTTGTTTTTTGTCATATCAGATTTCATATCAATACCGCCCATTACACATGTTACAATACCTTGTTATGTAAAATAATGAGTCACACAGCAGATATTTATTTTTTAAAGAAACTTTTCCTTTTTTGATTGGAGAATAAAAAAAATGTCTGAAAGATAATTTTTCCTTATAAAACAAACTTTTCTACTCACCATCATCACCATGCAGTTCAGAAGTATTGGAACTGAAAATATGAGTGAAATAAACATCCCCTTGCTATCAAAATATTGCTGATTTGATAAAAGCCTGTATTACAAAAATAAAAATTTGTTATTATTGAACTTCTCAACAATTATAATTTATGAACAAAACTACACCTACATCCAGTGGTGGGAAGCCAATTCATTTATGTTTTCAGAAAAGTAGACCAGCAACACTGTAAAATAAATATTTGAAATACATGTTACTTTGTAAAAACAAACAAGAGGATGTTAGGATGTTAACATTGTATACATATACTTTAACAAATAAATTTAAAAAAAAAATCATTTAGTAAAACAATAAATGATTAGTTAAATTTTAATCTATCACTAAATGATTTTCCAGTGTTTCTTTCAAACCGTAATAATCAATTTTTTTTACAATTAAAACCAATTTTTTATCTCGTTTAATTTGCTTTACATTAAAATAAGTATGTTGTAATTAATATAACAATAAAAATACATGAGTTTGAAATAAACAATAAAATCTGATGTAATTTTTTTTTCTGGGTGTATAAAGCAGAGCCAGTAACCAGACTGAGACGCTCAAATGGCTGCAGGTTAAAAAATACACAGGAAAGACCAAAAAAGAAGTAAAAACATGCTATGACCTCCGTTTGCCGGCCTTTAAACTTCCCACATTATAAAATAACTATGTAAAAAAATGGTTACATAATTGATAACTTCTTAAAAATCACACGACAAAACAAAAAATAAGGATAATTTATCTATGGCTTAACATTTTCTCTGACAATTGAACGTTTAGATAGAATTAAGTTAATTATTGCAAGTTCAGACCTTATACATTTTATACAGATATTTATTTAGAAATCGTGAGATGCGGTCTGGTGTGATGTAGGTTTCAGAAAAACATTTTCTTTATCATGCGTTCTGAAACCTACATCACACCACCGCATCTCACGATTACTAAATAAATATCGATTAATGGTCAATAATCACCACACATTTATACAGATAGTTAATATCATGTTTTTATTTTATTTATTTTTGTTTGCATTAATGTTTTGCTTTCTCAACTTTTTAAAATATAAATAATAAAAGACTTGAACAAAAAATATTTGTTACAGCATAAGGCGTGAGAAAACAATTTTAATGATATAGTAATTCTAAATAAATAATAAATAAGTAATAAATCTACCACTAACATTGTTTTCTCACCCTCTTTATTAAATGCAAACTTTCAACTATTGTAAAAAAATAAGTTTTCATAATTTTTGTACAAATGACCTTGTTTTAACATTATTATGACATGGACATATTTATTTTTCCAAATCAACGTTACTACATATGCAAATTTTAGTAGCTTATATAAATCAATACTGTGAATCAATTGTTCTTTGTTTTTTAATGAATGGAAATGAACCAACGTATAAAATCGATAATTAAACCATAGGTTAAGGCTAAATTTGTTACTTATTCATTGTTGAGATATTTCTTAACAAACATTGTAATTTCAGTTTTCAAATGCTAACAACTGGTCACTTTAAAATATAATAATTATACTTCATTGCATAATTAAGCAGCATTTTTTTTCCGGTACTTCATTCTGCAATTAGCTGTTTCACACATTTAAATAAATCAAATAAAAAGAGCTTTTGTTCTGAGTAAAATTCTTCACTCAAGGTTATCATCAGTCCTAATGTTTAACCCTCCCCCCCCCAAAAAAAAATTGGAAAAGTAATTAAAAGATAATTAATTTTATAAAGCCTGCAATACTAGACAAACATAACAATTTTTACATTAACTGTGAAAAAATATTTTTTATAAACTAGACCTAGGCCAAATATAATAAAGTACAATATCGTAGGGCTTCTAAGCTGAAAACGAAGTTAGATAATATGTTATTCACATTGTAAAAGCATTTTATTAGAAATGATGAATGAGCATTTTATTTGTTACATATATATTTTTTTCATCTACAAATTTATAAGTCAATGTGATAGAACCATTCCTTATTATTTAGAAAAACAGTGCACAAACTTGTAAAAACTTTCCTTTCGAGGCAAAATTTAAAACAGCAAATATCAAAGACATTCTGTATTGATTTTACATGCGATATAATATTTATAAATCAATTTTCATGAGCTATTGATTCCTAGTATTTCTATCTTATCCAGATACAACCAAGATAATTAGCGTGTAGAAAAAAAAGAAGCCACTGTATAAATTTTTGTCTCTTTTAATCTTTTAATGGAAGAAACAAATTTGGCATCACAACTGGGTTTCCTATAATTCTAATTTATGCTATTTTATATTCAATTTTTTTTAAAAATCCATGTTGAAACTTACATTCTTCATTACCATTGATACATATTTGTAAAATGTATATTTAATTCTGGTTACTGGTAGTAAAAGTTTACCAACCCAAGATTTGTACTTTCCACAACATTATTATAATATTGTTGAGAGTGCCAGTGAGATATTGAACACAACACCCAACAATGACATGTTTACACAGAAAACAAACACTTTGAGTTTGACAAATACTCTGATTGAGGCTAAAATTTCTAGCATTGTATAAATTCACTTTTTCCCACATCCTACATGTATTTGTTAAATTTAAACAATGTTTATAAATTGCAGGCCCTAAAGATGATCTCAATAAAGATCGAAACGTTGGCACGATAAAGAAAATGTTTTTCTAAAACCTAGGTCACACCAGACCGCATCTTATGATCTCCAAATAATCATTAACTAACAGTCACTAAATACTACACATTCTATTATATATTCTACTGTTTTCAAATATCTTTCGTTTTGCATGGAAAAATGGTAAAACTCGATTCTTCAAACTTGGCCAAGTCGTATATTAAAAACCTGGCGATCCATGATGACAAACCACCTTGTAGGAAAAATATTTATAAAAATGACAAAGAATCAAAACTGGTTGAAAATTTTTAGTTTAAAGAGAATATAACGTTTGTTTATAGTTGGAGATGACAGCTGAGTCAACTTTTTGTGATAAGAACTGTCCTTATCAACTTACGCAAAGTCAAAAAGAGGAGGACCTGGAAGTTGCCGTGGTTCCTGGTCAGTAGTGCCATGAGAGTGACTGCGATGTGGAAGAGGATGATCCCTATCAGGAGAGGATCGTGCCACTCGATCTATAAATAATGAACGGCAAACCTCAGAAAATCACGCTTTTTTTATCCCTGGAAATCCTCCTCAATGGTACTCACGTTGGTGAGGACGGTCCAGACGTTGAAGTCCAGCTCCTTGGTTCCCATCGTTATCCACGTAGGAAACACTCAGGTCCTAAAACTGCCACACACTCGGTATTTCGTCGAGGGGTTTAGTTCGGAAAGGAGATCGGTACCAAGGAGAACATGGTCCCTGGCCAAGGCGGAAGCAGGAAAACGGCTTGGGGTCGAGAGGATTAACCGAATAACTTGAGAAGTTGGAACGTCGACGTCCTCTGCTTGAGAAAACTGGTCTCTGACGACTGACGGACGAAACAGCGAAGGCCGACTGCACACTGAAGGCCTGCGTCGATCTGCTTCTGCTCAGGTCCCGCCTGGATTGGTCCGAAACCGGAGTGGGGACCGTCCTGCGCCAAGTTCGAATTCACCTTTCATTCACCTTCCCATGGAGGTAAAAGAAGATGAAGCTTCATTTCAAACATCCAAACACTGATTTAAACCCTCTTTTTTATGCTTACATGATAAGACACAAAAATTTTGTTACGCTATGTGAAATATGTATGATGCAATTTCAATGAACAATTACATAATTTCAATTCATAAAGTTTATCAGATGGAAAAAACAAAGTACAAGAAACAATTCGTAGCAAACTGTCGTGTAAATATCAAGAAATGCATGATGATCCCAAAGGTCGCAGACGCTATGAAATCCTATACACCACGATTGGTCATCCGAACCTTATCATCACAAATTGAACGATTTCTTCAAGAAATCTGTACGATGAACTTTTCAGGTCATTCCGACTTGTCGACATCTTCATTGCAGAGAGTCAGCGTTAATCAACAAAGACTCACTGAAGATGGCGAAAAGCCCAATGAATGATAGACCAAACCAACGAGAATAAGCAGAATTTATGAACACCATGTTTCAGTACCATGTTATTTTGTCCCCCATTGAAGATAACTTGAAGCCGAAACACATTTCAGTGAAACATTTTCCAGCGAGAAGAGACGGACCCAGTCAAGTGGTCAGTGTTAATCAATTTGTCCATCTATTTGCTGATAAACAAAAAATCAACTTTAGTAAAGTGGTTGCCGTCGGAAGTTTCTTGCTCGTCATGTTTATTGTATGAGGATTACACTGCTTTACAGAACTTTCTTTTTCCTCATATTAACAAAAAATAGAATGGGGCTGTCTCGGGGTTTAATGTGAAACATTTATTAAAATTGGAGTTTATATCGATCTATAAAGATCATATTGAATTTGGAGGTATCTAATGGCTCTGCGACGAAGTAGACATTTAGTTCACCAAGCTTTCGGCGATTTATGTCGCCATCTTCAGGAACTGGGTAGAAGTTCGATGGTTACCTAACCAGTAACCATCAATACAAACACCAAATTTGCATCGAATCGCCAACCCCCGAGGGCAAGACGCGAATTTCAAGGTCGTATCAGCAGATGACCCTATAAGCTAAAAAAAAATCACCGCACATGTCCATGACCAATGTTGAAACGCAGTTTTTATATATATACATATGGCATTCCATGCTGCAGCCATTGATCTTAGAGGCTAGAGCATCTCAGGGGTTCAACCTGGTTATTTGGGACTATTCTTCGAGGGCTCGAGATTTTTCTCCTTCTTCTTCCGGTTTTTCTTCTTTTCAATTTCTTCAAGTGTCCAATTAATAGAACTACACTCACTAAGTTTTTCAAATTCTTTTATTGAGTCGAGTTGACGCCTTCTGCCTCCACTCTTCAGAAATGAACTTTCTTCCTATTTCTTAATAGATGAGTTGGACCCACTAGGAAATATATGTTTATGGTGAAAGTTCTTAAAAGTTAAATTATTTAATATTTTGAACATCTATACACAATAATTTCGAAACACGTTGTTAGGGTGATCATTGGATTACACCTAACCTCACGTACTATGTTAACTATAAAGGCCAGGCCTCACCCGATTGACTATTTTGTTTAGCAAAATTAGAACATTTATATAATAATAAAATTAACTAATTAATTAAAGAGAAAAAAGAAACCTATGATGAAACCAAATCGAACAAAAAATTGAAAATCGTCATTCAAGAGGTCATGAGAATGAGGTCATGTTCGATCTGGTACTATATGATCTCAATTATTATAACTGATGCCTGATCACTAATAATATCGTAGATAATACAGAGTAAGTAAAAGTAGTGCGTGGGATCACAAACCCCGCTTCCTAGTTTCATCATCAAGTAAAAGTAAAAATGTATCACATATTGCATACTTTCAGTCGCCGATGAAATGACAATTTTTGGCAAATATACAATAATAGCACATGTTATTGAATAAGAACGATCCAAGAAAGTGGATGGAAAAATAAAATTGTCTAATTATACCCTATTGAGGGTGGGCCAGAAGGTGAACAACCTTTTGGCGGAAAATTCTAATTACGTATTCATCATTACAACAATTTTTAGAAATGTTCAGTTAGCGATAACATAAAAAATATACACTTTTTGTATTACACTTTTTATGGATTGTTTCATTTTTGTTATTTCTAGGCTTTTGTCTTGAGAGAGTTTTACGGAATTAAATGAAAACAAGTGAAGACGGTGTTAAAAAGAGGGAGTGTGGTTAATCTAGTAATTCAATTTTTGTCCTGGGTAAAATTTATTCTCCGACTTACCGAGAAAAAAATTTAAAAAAAATTTACTTAAAAAAAAAAAATTGTACGTTTATGTTTTATTATTTTTTTTTATTTTTTGCTTTGGCAGAGCCATTAGTCAGACCTAACATAAAATCATCGACTTTAACATGGCACTCTTCTAGATCTTCCCATTTAATATATGGTATTTAAAAAAAAGTAATTCAACTTTTTGTCTTGGGAAAATTTATTTCCTAACTTTAACGTAATAAAAACACAAAACGAAAGAAAACTGAAACAAAACCCACAAAAAAGATACAATAAACACAGCTAACAACAAAATTAAAAAAAATTTACAAATTATTTTCACTAAACACAGACAAAAAAAAAAAAATACAACAACACTATAGTTGTAAAAACCAACTTCCGCCTAACAAAAAATACAAAAAAATCAATGTAAAAATCAAACAAAACACATAAAAAAGATACAATAAATATAGTGAACAATTAAAATTTTTTTGTCCTTTTTTATTAGGTTAAAGTTGGTTTTTACTTCTATATGTCTTTTTTTCATTTTGTCTGTGTTTAGTGAACATATATTGCCCAATTTTTGATTGTTTGCTCTGTTTAATGCCTTTTTTTAATGTGTTTAATTTCATTTTTTTTGTGCTTTTTTTTATTAAGTATAGGGAAAAAAGTTTTGCCCAAGACAAGTTGAATTTCTAGTATTAACCCCTTTGAAAGTGTTAGTTTTTTGTAACCAAAAATTAAATTGAAAGTTCTAGAAGAGTGCCTTGTTAAAGGAAATTTAACGCTCTTTTGAATGATTTTTTGGGAATTACTAAAATGAATAGAAAAATAGTTGAATATCTGATAAAGAATTGAAAATCGGACCATGGTTCATAAGAACTTTTTGCTGCATTTGAGGCGTAGAAGCACCTAACGAAACTTGTCAAACGAGTAGCTGTATAACCAAAATAATGATATTTGGTGAAATTAATAATTAATTGAGTTCAAAAATGATAATGTGGAAATTGGATTAACAATTTTTATTTGAGTTCTTAAAAACTCTGCAATGATATTTAAATAAATATGCGTGAAAGAGTTTGTAGAAATTGTTAAAGGGGAGGGGAGTTAAAGGTAAATTCGTTATTGGTCACAGGCAGATGAAGCAGCACTGTTCTAATGGCGTCTTCGTCCAGTTACAGTAAGTCTGTCTATCGGTTTTGCTCACTTTGAACGGCTTCTGTTGTTGTGTCTGTGCTGTGAAGCGTCTCTTTTCCTGAGATCCTGCGTATGAGCCAGTAGCCTCATCTGCGACCGGTTTTTGTCTCTACAGAGTATAGACGGATCGGTGTGAAATGGTGAAACTGTATCGAGGTGGAAAACAGGGCCCAGGGCCGATGAGGGGCCCTATGAACAAGCCGCGTCCGCTTTTCCCACCGGGCGAGCTGCCCCTTTTCGGGCCTCCACCCGTGTACTTTCGCCGGCCTATGATGCCGCCCCCCGCGATGAGGCATCCGCCGCCGATGCGCCCGCCCCCGCCGCGGATGATGGGGCCGCCACGGCCCGGCATGGTCGGACCGCCGCCGCCGGGCATGATGCGCCGCCCCGGACCCCCGCCCCCAATGCCGCTCCTTCAGGCTCCCGTCCTCCCGCCTCGGCCGCCTTTCGTACGCGGTGGACGCGGCGGCCCCAAACCTCTTCTGATGAAGCCCATGAGGAAGATGATGGACGACAGACGGATGAAGCAGGTCAAAAGGCATAACAAGAAGAACAAAATGAGAAAAGCAAATCGCCCCGGGACCGGCTCGGTGAGTTAATTTTTTTTTTCTTTTTAATACATTATCAATCGTGAAATAACCAGACATTTTCATTGAAGTCTTTTTTGTTAAGTCAAAACTGCCATTTTCTTCCTACGTCTTTGTTTTTGTTTACCTATTACTCGCCGATTCTAACCTTAATTGTCGGCCAAAAACGTGAACGGCCACGTGTTGTAAATAAATCATGAGATATTTTCCACAATTTAACATGGATCAATTTTAATTCAAAGTAAAATATTGGTTAATATTAAAAAATAGTAAAATCAAACTGCCTTTTATAACAAGTAATACCTGACATAACATTGCATGTGGTGAAGTTGTTTATGTTTATAACGTGTTTATTCAATTTAGTGTTTTAATTCAAGGCTCGTTAATGTTTTTCAAATAAAATTAAATTTAAAATTTACTTCACATTTTGAGTAAATGATTTATGGAATAACTTATTTCTCATAACAATGAAACTTATTTTTCATGTTTCCTTTTATATCCAGAAAATTAATTTTCTCTGTTTGTCTTCGTATAATAATAATAATAATAAAAGAGGGTGGATTGATTTTTTTTGTGTATATTGTCAAAATAATCTGTACCCTCGTAGCACAATTGGTCATACAGAAAATTTAAGAATTGCGATTTTAATAGTAGAGATTAAATTTTTCTAAACTTCTTGAAAGACTTTAATACTCAACCTAAATATTCATAAAATCATTCCATTCCACCAATTCGCCATTCGTCCACATCATTCTACGATCCACAAGGCTTCAAAATAGTAGATTATGTCCTTTGCGCTAGAGAATAAAGAGTATTGCTTGGGTGCGTTCTTAGATGTAGCAGAGACTTTTGATAGGGTTTGGCATATGGGCATGCTTAACTTGGCTGTTTCAGAGTGAGGTGTGTCACCAAGTGCTCGGAATGTCATTTGCTATTGTCTATCTATACACTCTGACACTGTCATTACCACCTACTCGGACAATACTGTAATTTTGTCTTCTACCTCTAATCCTAAACAAGCTTCCTCCAACACATCTCGAGCTTATCGAAGATTAGTTTAAAAAGTAGAGGACCAGACTGAATGAAGAAAAATGTACTCAGTGTATGTTCACATTGAGAAAACCGTCTTGCCTTCCACTTACATCAACAACAAATACATATAGACTTCCATTCAAGTCAAATACTTAGGACTGTACATAGAGCAGACAGACATTGAATCCCCGCACAAGACTTAAGAGACAACAGGAGACTTGGGCAACTAGACTTCTTAGACCAAAGTCTGCCTTGGATATACGGAGTGGAACTGTAGGGTACTGCCAAGCCATCCAACATCCAACGCATACAATCCTGCCAATCAAAAGTCCTCAGACCAATTGTCAAAGCTATTTACTATGCCGCTAACTTCACTATCCACGACCTCAACATTCCTTTTGTCAATGAGCTGATACCTATTCAAACAGTTTCACACCAACCTCTCGATCCATCCTAACCCTACTGCCCGACACCCCCTACACCTTCCCATCCCTAGTACCCGCTATGTCGCCTTAAACGACCTTGGTCTTAATCTCACACTGAGTGCCAGCATCGGCTGGTTTCTTATGGCTCTTCCAGGTGCAACTTTGAAGTTAGTGTTAATGCTGTGACCATCTGAAAAATAAATTGTAATCACAATGATTATTTGGAGGTCATGAGATGCAGTCTGGTTGAACGTAGATTTTAGAAAAACATTTTCATCGTGCCAACGTTTCGATCTTAATTGAGATCATCTTCAGGGCCTGGGATTTATAAACATTGCTTAAATTTTACAAATACATGTAGGATGTGAAAAAAAAATTATACAATGCTAGAAAATTTTAGATTCAAAGTATTTGTTCTCACTCAAAGTGTTTGTTTTCCGTTTTGTAGATGTGTCATTCTTGTCTGTCGTGTTGAGAGTGCCAGTGGGATATTGATGTTTTATGTTTATATACGTTGGATTTTCAAGGGGTGGGGAGGGACGTCGGGAATAGAAATACATTTTTATATGAGGAGTTGCCTTCTTTGAAGTGAAAGGAGCCGACAGAGCCAACAATTAATCATCTGTAATCACAATACGTACGAATATGTATAAGATACAAATAAAATCATTAATTGAACATTTTTTTGTTGACATTTGATTGGTACTCTTAAAGAGAGTAATTATTTTTAGTTGATATTTATGGCAGAGATGAAAAATTTGTATCACAACCGGGTCTTGAACTCATGATATCCGGCTCAGTACCCTCGGTGCTCTATCACTTCAGCTGTCGTGACTTCAACCCTCAAGACACCAACCATCTCAACCTAGTACTTTTTTCTTTTAAATTATCCATTTTTTTTTTTTTGAGAATATTCAAATATTGTGTAATCATGGATTCTCGTGTCCAACAAATTAGCTACAGAGAGCAGCTATTAGTGAGATACGGGTCATTCAGTAATTATATCATATATGTTTTAGTTGCATCTCATCAAAAGTAATAATTTTAAATTGATTTATAATTTTTATGCAAAATGTGGCTGAGATAAAAAAATTAGAGTTATTAAGCGGGACTCGCATTCATGACAGCTATCGTGGCTTTAGTCCTTTTGCTGTAAGAAACTTTTCCTTTTTCTTCTCCTTCTTAGACTTCCTGGATATGCACTTCTCATTTTGCTAAAATTTGACTTATCCATTTTTGCCTCGAGGGTGAAGTTATGTGTAGTATGTTAAAGAGTAAACATCATAATTGACATTTATGCAGTTCAATTTTAATCTTCGTTATAAATTAATGTAATAAATGCACGTTGGGTACAAAAAATACAAAGGACTTCTTCAAGCAATTTTTGAAGAACCAGGACAAAAAATAGGTAAGTCCTAATGATTGATACTGTTGGGCCTGTCAAAAAAATTATACTTTTTTGTGATTATACTGACCACTTTACTGGGTCTATCTTTGCTCGTTTATGTTGCCCACAAGTATTTGTCAGTCCCATGCTATTTTTGTCATGAAGTTAGCGTGAAGCTGAAACACGTGAGTGAGATGTGTACCTGTGAGATTAGACGGACCCAGAAAAGTGTCAGTGTCGATCAGTTTGTGTCCGCCCACTTGCAGTCAAACAAAATACCAACTTTAAAGTAATGTGATTTCTATCAGATGAATTTCTAGCCCATCCACCCTTCATGTAATACGTACGCACAGTACTTACTTTGTTCACATGGTATTAGCAAAAGATTCTAAGGCAAATGCCAGGATTTGAACAAAAAACAACATGGCAAGTATGACAAATGGATGCATTTACAATTATGCCACTGTAGCTACATTTTACCCACAAAAGTATTGTGTATTGTACAGCAAAGGAAATATGGAACAGTAACAATTCATACTATTTTGCAATAATTTTTATTTTGATAAAACATCAACGCTTTTAAATTGAAACATGGCACATTAGGCAAAATATGCAGCTAAGCCTAATAGGGGTACCAAATTTGACTTACATTTGTTAATCAATGCTGTGATGAACAGTGTGGTTCGGGATATGCATTTCTTTTGTCAATTTTTGTATATGTTGTTCACCTTTCGCCTCTATATTCATATCTGAATGTAAATAGTCAAACTTCTCCAAATGGATCCTTCTAATAACCGACTGTATTATTTTCCACGTTATGATAAGATTTACTTTACTAAGAAAAATAGTCCAATAAAAGGACCCAGACACGACATTCATAGATTTTTCAATGAAAAAGCAGACTGCAAAATGAAAAACATCTCAAGATAGCACAAATAGCAGGTGACTGTAATGTGTTATCTGCAAACAGAAAAATTCACTCCCCATACAACCCACTCAAATGCCTTTGGTACTCACCGCCTCTCGTTCAGTTCTCAGTTCAGTTAATCCGTTAGTATTGTGATTTGTGACAAACAGATTTGGAGATAGGTGCGAGAATCAAATGTTTTTTTCTATCAGAGAAAAGGTCACAAATCCACGAGAAAGAGAAAATTAGTATTCGTGTATTCATCTTTACTTTTACTTAATGTACCTATTTATTTTTTCTTTTTATGGACCCTTCTAATAAATGGACACAATTCCATTCCAGAGGAGTGTCCACTTTTGGAAAGTTCGATTAAACTTTGACATGCTAGTCATGACATCTGAGGAAATTCAACTACTATAATACAGCTTCAACACTTACAATGCTTTAATTATAAATCTGGTTTTTATTCTCTAATTTAATTTGAACTCTGTCCACTGAAGGCAGCCAATAATCAATCAAATGTCAGTTTTCACAAAGAAATATATTTTTAAACATACTACAGTTTTCATAAAAATTAAGTTTATAAACCATTGTTTAAATTTAGAAATTATGGATTTTTTTTTACTGTAAAGAAAATGGCAGTACAAAATTTGTCATTCCATTTGTAAATTATTTAAAATGCTCGGGATTTATAAGATAGGAAGATTCAAAAGAAAACAACAGAAGTAAGCAAAATACTGATAAAATGTAAATATCACCGATATAGGACGTAAACCAAAAAAATACGACCGATAAAATTAAAGAGGAGGATGTCACGACTGGTCCTTGGATCACCGAGGAGATCAAGGGAGAGATAAATAAAATGAATGAGCTGAAGAAGACCGCCGACGAGAAAAAAGACAACTCGAGCGTCGAGCTGTTCAGTGAACAGAAGAATAAGGTGGACAACCTCGCGAAGGCGGCTCGCGATGAATACTTGGCAAAACAGGCCAAAGATAAAACAAACGTGAGTTCCAAACGTCTATCAAATCTGTTTGTGTACCATTTTTATTGTAGTTACAATTTTTATTATGCACGTATGATTTTCCAGGAGGAGGAAAAAGTCAATAGTACAAAAGCGGATGAAGTCCAAGAGACGACTAAGAATGGAAGTGTTACTGAATAGAAGTGAGAATCTATAGTCATTATACTTAAGGATAAATTACTATATACGCCCTTAGTTCAAAGAATGAATGTCCGTATATACATTTTGATGTACATATAATTTTAAATGGAATGCAAGAAAACCTATTAAATTTATTTTTTATTGTTTTTATTTATTGAGTTAACAATATTGGTAAAAACACAGTAGATATTTTATTTGAAGTAGTAAATTTTTTACAAATAATATATATACATTTATGAAAATGTGTTTACAAACAAATATCTGTCTACTGATTTCTTTGTTGATTTTATTTTTTTCTTTATTATTCATGAAATATTACAAATTAATTGAGAGAGTTAAAAATCCTTTAGATTTTTTTAAAAAGTTGCAACATTTTAAAATACTAGAAACACTGTAAAATTTTAAAAAGAAATATTTCAAACTGTTATATCAAGTATTAATTCTCTTAAAGCAAATTACCTCATTTGAATAGTACTTTATAATGATTATTTTTACTTTTCAACTTTTATTGTCTTTTAATTAATTATTTGCTATTAGTAAAGTAGAAAAGAACTATTCATGTGCTTTGACTTACTTTTAAATAAATATTTGATTCAAAACTAAATTTTCCACTGTCCAGTGATTTTATTTGACTGCCACACGTTCATTAACTGTATCCCAAGGCTTTTGAATTTTCTGTTTTAAATTGGGCATTTCAATGCCGCTGCTTGTACTTCTTGTAAGTGCATCAAGCCAATAAAAAAAAGCACTTTTGCGGCGCCCAAGGACGGTGGATAAATGGACATGCCGTTAACACTTTGTTGCGGCGGGCACACACTTGTTACTTCACTACAAAATGAAAACCAGTAAGTCAAAATTAATTTTAACTAAAATTCTCAAACAACAATATTGGATTAAGTGTTGTTTTCTTGTATTTTAGTTTATTTTCTTTTTTAATATATATGTTACACACTTTTATTACAATATAATTTTTCTTTTAAATACGTATGCATGTATTAAGAAAAATGGGCCGCCAAATTAATGTTACTTTTAATAGTTACAGTTTGATGTAGTAAAGTGAAATAAGAGCCCTTTTTCCAAATAATCTTCTATTGTTAAATTCATTATTGGATATATTAAATTAAAATCAGTAGGTAGGTTGTTATTAGTTCACATTCTCACATAGTTTTTTCTGAAAAGTTTATTTATGTCTCAAATAATAAACAATCCTGGCGTTTTTAATCATTACATTGTTTTGTGTTAAATATGCGTGATGATAGTTTGAAAGTATAAATGTTTATGTTATGCATGTCTGTCTGACAAAGTTTGCTACTTGTCCTCAATTTAAAGTTTTACTAGTAATCATATTTGTAAGTGTGATTAACAAAAATGAGTTTTTTTTGTATCTATAAATACACCAAGGTTATTCAATTTTTATTTATGTTGACAGTCAAAATAACATTCGTCTTTCTGTAAACAATAACAGATCTAGCATTACCTTACAACTTGTCAATTGAAAATTGCCTTCTAATTTCAACCATTATTTAATAAATTTAAAAAAAAGGAAAGGGAACCCCCCCCCCAAAAAAAAAGAAAAAAAGAAAAAAAAGATTATAAGCCAAAATTAATTACATAATAATTCTATCTACGCTTTCCTTAAGGTGATCAATGATCTAAATATAATGTTGACAGTAATTATCACACTAGATTACAGAAAATATTGTTTTAAATTTTGGTTTGATAAGATATCACATTCTGACATTTATTTTGTGTTTTAAATATATAAATGATAAACTGCGTCTTAGGAAATGTGGTGACAAGATCATTAGCATTTTTTCCTTTATTTGTCTGGGCTTGTTTCCTCAAGCCCTTGAAATTATTATATATATATATATATTTAAAAAAAAAAAATAACATGAATATTTCTAAATGTTTTTAACCATTCATGGTACTCAAGTAACTGGAAGTGAAGTCTTGCAAATCAGAATACTTTCACTTTTTTGTGGTCTGCCTGACTAATGCTTTATTTACACATGAATCTTTAAACTTAATTAATAATTATTTACTGAAATTTTGTTGAAAAGCCTTAACAATTTTTAAAAATATATTTCACATTTATGATAAAAACACAGGATTGTTTATCAAAAATAATGTTAAGTGAGTGGTAGAAGTTGGATTTTCTAGCACAAAACACGGTTCTACAATAGATGTCAATGCAGAACACATGATCTTCCTTTAAAAAAAAATATTTTTATTTTATTCGTCTATTTTTATTTGATTCAATTTTTTTTTTAATCAACTGGTTATTTCACTTTTTTTAATTTCTTATCTATTTACTTTTCCCAGTTTGGGAAAGTCTTTTCATCTGTGTATATTGTTGTTCAGGGAGAGTTTTATTGCGAAACCTGCGACATTTGTTTGGAGACGAGAGAAGAGCTCGAGGAGCACACTGGTGAGCATGTTGTGTGCGGAAAGGACGGCTGCACATTCTCTGCCATACCGCCAATAATAAGGCAACACGTACGGCTCCAACATGCCACCGGCCTCTATGAAAAAATCGCCAAAGTGTCCAATCCGGAGGAAGTCAGTAAATGGATAGCCGATAGGAAAAAGTTAGTTTTTATCGTGAGAAACTATAAACCGGATACTTCCGTTTTTAATTGATATCTTTTGTTAAAATTGATTGTACCTGTTACATTTTTGCAAGTCGCATGAGCTAGGTGCTTCGAAAATATCAGCTTCCTGCTTTAAAAGACACTAAACTGTTCAGTATTGAACAAGAGGCATTGATTTTCACATTATCAAATTATTTTTATTATAACACTTTAAAGTGAAAAATATCCACTACAGCTTTATAATGCTTTTTTTACTATAAAATAATTTATTCATCAACTAGGTAAGTATATTAAAAAGTATGGTGTAAAAATAAAATATAAGTATTAATATAAGAAAAAATGGAAAAAAACAAATTTATTTATTTTTTTAACTTTGTGAAATGGTAAGTCTTAATAGTTTTAAAATTTAATCTTATATTTTTTCTGATTAGTTTAAACTTCGGAAAATATCAATACAAGTTCAATAGTCAAGTTTTACTATCTAAAAAGTATTCAGAATTTAATATTTGCACAATATTTTTTGTTTGGAAGGAAGCCAGGACGTTGTATTAATGCTTAAAAGTATGGTATTTTTTTTTTACTACTCCTGGCACATGCAAGTAGCTCTTTATGGCATGTTGTTTTTCTGATTATGCATAGGATGAACCTGCCTGTATCTGTAGTGGCCGGATTTTCCTCCAATTTGGTCTTCTTACAGATCAAATATTCAGATTTTGTGCAAAACGGAGTATATAGTATGGGAGGTGTAATTAAATTGCACCCAAACCCAAAAAATGTCCTATTGATTTTCTTCGAGAATAAGAATTTGATTATTCGGGGAAAAAATGGTGGTTTCACATACTTTTTTTTTTTTCAATTATCAGACATATATTATTTGTTTGAATTGGTTTAAAACCATTTATCCTATCTCCGCTTGGCTTTAATATAACTTTCTCTTTATTCAACAAAAACAAAAACTTTTATTAATCAATTTAAGTGCATTAAAATGCCTCGACCACTTGTTTACGCAATCTAACTCAGTATGGTCAAATGGATGAAAAAACAAAGCAAAGCAGTTTTAAAATGCCTACAAATTGACATAATTATTATTATATTATCATATATTACAATCCTTAGCAGTGTTAGGATGACCAGGCTGGTGAGTCACAGATTCTCTACTCCAAAATAACAGACACAGATACACCACATATTGTGAAAATTTTTGGTTTCTCAAAAAAATTTTGAAAGTTGAAATTTTCTGTTTTTAATATTTTTATTTTGACATTCTACTTACTAAAATAAACCTATGTGAATATGTGGTTTTCAGATTTAAAAAAAAAAAAAATGTAGATAGCAATAAAAATATAGTAAAAGCTATCAAATTTCTAAAAACCAAATATTTTTCAAATAAACTAGGACATATTTATTCGTGAAACTAATATGAAATTTTGTTTTAGGCAAAGCAGTTGAGAAATTGGTCAAAACTTCGATTTGACCTTATTGTCACGATTTTTCTGTTATAAAACCCTTAGATACCAACTCGCGGAAATCTGTGTAAAGTGCATTTTATAATTGTATGAAATATTAAAATCGGACTTTTATTTATGACAAATAAATTTGCTATTTTGTGTTACGCTATCTTATAAATATTTTATAAAGTTTAATAGTAGTCGTTAAAAAGCTCTCTTCTCTTCTTTCATATGGTCTGCTTGACGTTAAAGTCCTTTTAACTGTTTTTGAATAATAACTGTTTCAATCAGATATTATTCTGATGACTTCTCAAAAATTGGAAAAAAATTAGGGCTCAAAATAATTGATAAATTTAAATTCAAACAAAAATTTGACTTCTAAAACCAAATTAGTTATTAGCTTCAGGAAAAAAAGTCCTAGTTTACTTTGAAAAATATCTCGTTTTTGGAAATCTTTAGGTTATTGATAAACTTTGATAGCTTTTCATTTGAGCAAGTAGATATTTTAGAGTGGAGATTTGCCAACCTGGTCGTCTAGTTGTGAGTATGTTCAAAGAAATTTGAAAATATTTATTAACAACCAAATGATGTCAATTTGTAGACATATTAAAAATTGTTTTGCTGATGACAATAAAATAGGTTGAAAGCTTGTTAGATTACAATTAAATATAGTTTTTGTTTTCCATCCACTTGTCAATGGCGAGATCCAGATTATTTTTTAATTAATTAAGACAATTCTTTATCGAATTCATACAAAGTTGGCTAATTGTAAACTGCTTTAAGTATTTAATGTAAATTTAATTTTCGGTTTAAGTTTTCTTTTAATGAAAATCCTAACGGGCTCGCTCCAATGTGCATTCAAAACTTCTAATTACAAATTATTAGAAAACAAGGATGAATTGCTTTTATAAAAAGAAATTTTTCAAATAAAAAATCAAACCAAGTTTACGACCAAAACTACCATAGTTTTGCGTTGTAATTGTTAACAATTTACATATTACAAGAAGGGCTAATGCATATCTGAATATTACAAAATGTACATGTTTTAGTGATTAAAGCTGAATTTATTCCTGAACCAGACCATTCATGGCACTCAATTTTATCTTTTTGTTTTGGAGCAAAAACAATTTTTTATTCATATTATTTATATTTGTTTTTAAAAGTTAAATTTTGTACTTCTAATGAGTAGTTGAAACGTACTAAGTGGACATAAATCTTATTTTGTTTGAAGTAGATCTTTCTAAGCATGAAACGCAAAAACTATTTTAAATTTTTAAAAAAATCTGTGTAACTAATTAATACCAAGTTATACAAATATCCTTTACAGACTGTAAAACATTAAAACATTTTTAGAGTGATTTCCAAACTTATTTTGAAGAAAAACTTGTATTTTATGATTACACATTTTGAAGTCATTTTTCCTCAGGTAAGATGTTAAAATTATAGAACCATTTGGTGATTAGAATACTCTTCTCAAAAGAGAAATAAATCATTTAGTACAGCATATTCATGGCACTGAGTAATTTACGGACCAGTAAATTACTTAATATGGTAAATAGCCACAAGGACTTATTTTACTGGTTTTTTTCTTGACTTGCATAGATATAAATAATATTTTAATGATGATTAGCTGTATCAAGTTATATAAGGTAGTGTTTCCTTTTAGTTTGGATCTGCTGTTTGATTTTTATGTTAGGCACACGGAATAACTATCATATATTCATGCGCATGTTGGAAGTATGAGTTTTTACAAAACCTGGTAATAATTTAAGAAGAGTAGAGGCAGTGTTATAAAGAAATATACATATTACACATCCCATTGACAGTTTTGGGCCAATTTTTCACTCAATTGGTTGTAATTACAAAAAAAAAAAATTTGGATCTGTGTAAACATAGTGTTTCTCAGTGAAGATCCAATATTCAAAATTGTCTAATTGAGACTGGGAAAGCACATAAAATAAAATACACTTTTATGAAATTCAACTTATTTATTTGAAAAATTAAATAAACATTATTAATTACCTGTTACTTATACTTAAAAATCTTAAAAAAAAACAAAAAAAAAACCGTTGATGAAATTTTTGTTTTGCTTATTTTACCATCCAACTAACTTAGAAGGACTGGGAATTTTTGATACAGAAGTAAGTAGAATACCACTGGCTTTCATTCATTAAATTTTTTACCAGCTATATTTTTTCTTTCTTTATTTTTTTTTTAAATATTGAGGAAATTGTCAATTATTTGGTTTTAGTCAGTTATCACGGATTTTCTTTCAGCAATTACCCAACGAGTGAGAAAATAGCGCAGAAAGAAGAGGAGAAAGCTGAAATGATTGAGAGGGGTGAAGTGCTTAACGATGGCGTAAGGTTCAACCAACTTCCGTTAAAAAGAAAAAGTAAATTCATTTCTATATGTAAATAGACTAATTGAAAGGGTCTGAATTTCTATTTTGTTATTGTAGCACCTTCAAAAAGAAATAGCCAGTGGAAAAAAAGAGTCAACATCATTCATAATTACTCGGAAGAATTTGTCGTAATCGATGGTCTACCTTCAGACGAATCAGGTATGATTTGTGATTTTCAAAGAATCTGAATTTTTGCTATATTGGATTTGAAATAGCAAGCGAAGAGTCAGGAGAATCAGATTCGGATTTGGAGGAGGACAATGACATCGGAAAATTTAGTGATGATGAGTGGATTGATGATCTGTCTCAAAAGGAAAACGAAAATAAAGAAGTCTGTGGAGTTCTTGGCTTATTAACAGCGTACAATTCTGATTCCGAAGGTAGGTTAAAAGAGGTAAATTGTTTGTCTTTATTTTAATAATTATAATTTTATATTTAGAAGAAGAAATGAAAGTCAGTTCAGACATACAGAATGATAATAAGAAAGAATCATCCGAGAAATCTGAAAATGAAAATTTGGCTGATCCTGAAAACAAAAGCAGTTTGGAAGAAGAACCACCTGAAGAGACAAAAATCCTTAGAGAAGAATTAGATGTTCCAAATATATTGGTAAAAACAAACCTGGTGACAAATGAAGATACAAAAGAAAAACCTGTACATGAAAAACGGAAGAGAGTTCAATCTGGAAAGAGAAAACTAATTAGCAAAGTTCCACCAAAATACAAACCTTCCACTCTTCTACAGAAAGTAAAACAAATGAGTTTTATAAAAAAAAAATCCCATATTAATTGCATGCTCTTTTGTTTCAGCTTTTATCTAAAGAGATTAAAAAAGAAAGAAACTACATTCTTCAGTGTGTTCGTTATATTATCCAAAACAATTACTTCAAACCTGAGAGTAATAAACTGCAAGACAATAATTTGATTGATGCAGAATCTGGGAATTGATCTGTTATAAACGTTTAAATGTAATAAGCAGTTTTGACGAAATTTTTTGTTATCAATTGTAAATAAATGTAATATATTGCTTATAAAATAGCACTAGTGTTTTCTGGTCCAATAGATTTAAAGTGTCTTTAATCTACGTTCCAACGTAGCCAAGTGGTTGGTTAGGGTATCCAATTGGTATTTGCTACACTAGTGGTTCTGGATTCGAATCCCACAGACCCATTGGCTTTTTAATTGATTATGGTATGAAAAATATATTGTAAATTGGTTTAACCCCTCAACATCAATACCCAATGTGTAGTTGGACGTTGCTCTCCGTATGACAAATATCTACATCCCAAAGCCGTCGAACTCACAAAATACCCAACTGCTTTATTTTATTTTATGTGACACTTATTAGCACAGTTTGAAAAAACCAAGCCTTAAAGATGGTACGCAAGCCACGCAAAATAGCTACTTAGGATTTGGAGTTCGGTTATTTAGAACTTATAAACTTCTGCATTCCTGGCATAATAATTAACACTAAGGCCTATTTTACAGGAACGCTCAAAACATGGTTAGCAATGCTTACGCTCAGAATGTTGTTTAATTTACACGGTTGTTCAAGTTGGCGATTCCAACGCAATGTTAGTCTCATATTTCTTGATATGTGTATTATTTTATTTACTTATTTTAATGATGCAAATAGGGCTTTAAGCCCCTTTACATGTACATGTTTTAGAAATAAGTTTTGTTTTATAAACATAGTAAAATAATAATAATAACCCATTTATGTTTAGTGTATTTTATAAAAAGTATAATTAATTGAAATAATTATCATAATAAAACAAGCCAGTAAGGAAATAGAACATACTTCCTGGGTAAGTAAATTTCATAGTCTTGCCCTTGCAATTCTGAACGATCAGGCGAGTCTGTAGGAGTATTGAAAGCTTGGGATATGATTGGTGCGTTGGGATAAGGAATAGGGGGAAAACAATATTGAGATCATTATGCTTATGTGTGTTCATATATGTTCGACACTGAAAAATTCATTTGCGAAGTAGAGTTGCATCCTGCATTTATTGCATCTATTAAGCAATTCGAAGGAATACTTGAATAGAGAGGTGAAGGCGAAATGTTAAGACAGAAATCCAGATTTTTTTCTCACAAGTTGCTTCAACAATAAAATTCTTGTAATATATCCTACCTGAAGAGAGTTCATTTTGAAACTAATGCAACTAAACTAAAACGTGCTGTTCTTCAGCATGTATAGAATGGTCTTGCGTTTCCTAGCATGTGTTTCAAACACGAGACAATTAAAAACAAGAGGCGGGAAGTGTTCTAAATGCTGGGTTTTGAGCACTTGTGTCGAATGGGCCTTACTGATGGGAAGAATTTGTTGTTCTAAGAAGTGCCCTATGAACAAATGGTGACTGCAGAAATAGACAAGGTGGAGTCTTAAGAACTGTCTTTCTTCAACCGGTATTGAACTGCTGTTCTTTCTGCTTTTTTTTGTTTACTTGGGTTAAAATTTTTGAAGTCCTTACAACTAATTAAGGTTTTCAGTTGAGATAAAAAAGTCAATGGCACGAGAGGGATTCGAACCCATGATCTTCGGCTTGATATGACGCTGCTCTACCACTTGAGCTATCGTGACCTCAATCCACTCGGACATCAACCACACCTTTTGAATTTTCCCTCCTCTTTTAATCTAATTTTTATCACAACTGAAAACCTTAATTAATTGGAATATATTAATTGGTCAAGCGGACCACGAAACTAGTGTATTGAATAAGTCCTTAAATTTTATTTCAGTGTAACTTTTTATAATTATGACTTCAAAAAAATGTGTGACAAAGTGGCTTTGAGGAACAAGTTCAATTAATGTGGAACGCACTTGAATGTGCTATTAGAAGAAGATAATCTTGAAAGTGAACATTATGCAAACTGTGAACATGTTTTTGATGAAAACAGAAATTTTGTAAATGTTGCACATAACCCTGCTGTGGTCAAAGATGGGAAAGAGACATGTGTAATTAGTATTTAGAGAAAAAACTGACAAAAACCCTGTTAGGAATGTTCTGGCTTCAAGAATCGCCAACCCAGGCTATTGGATATTGGGCCAGACCTCGGGTCTTATCCACCCAGCTGCTGAGGTTGATCTCTGGGGGGGGGGGGGGTTTGTCAACAGCTAGGTTATTTCATTCCCCAATGCAATTAGTTCCTAAACCTATTACCACTCTCACTCACTATTAATTTCATTCTTTCCTATTTACATATATTCCTGTATTGCCATGTTTTAAAACTAACCTACACATTCTCGCTAATAAATACATTCACTCTTAAAACAGTATTGTATACAATAGAACATCCCCATTTCTCCAAATTAGTAGTACATTGGAAAAGGGAACCCAAATACTCGCTGTCATGCTCAAGTTCAATATACAGCGAAAAAACCCCTTGTCCTTTAAAAAATGGAACAGGGGACCCAGAAGCAGACTGCTTGCTCAAGAACCATTCTTAAATCTGGCAGCATGCCTACTTGTATGGAGCCAAGGCATGGCCTTTATCACAACTTTTCTCTGCATAAGGGGCTTTGGCCCCAATTGGATTATTATGTCAGTCACAGTAACAGGATTTGAAAAAAAAGTTTATTTTTCTAAAGCTTTATTTAAATTACTAAACAGCTATGTACACCTTTTATAAACAATAATTCACTACACTGCATAAATAGTCTTCATAAATAGTAACAATTTGCAAAATAATATTTACATCATGTTTTTACATTCTTGTTTATACTGAATTAAGAAATTACAAATGTCTGCCTGTCCTTTTACATCTTTATTTCAAGTACAATGGTTTAATTAAACACAATTCTTTCAATACAAACTGAGCACACACAATACCCTTAAATTATTTTATTTGTTTTATTGTTATAATAAACGGATTATTTTTTGGACTGTTTTTTATCATTTATAATCCTGTAGGTGTTGGCCTCTGGAACAAGAAAAACAATTAGACCGAAAAAAAAAAAAAAATCAAGTAACCCACTCTACCTTGTATTTTCCATTCATATTGGTAAAGAAGTTTGTGTATTTCCATTCCGTAGTTTGTTTCAAGTACCATATCACCTCCATACTGTGTAGGGACAAATTTTGCATCGATATGCTCGATGAGTGAAGTTTTATTATCGCCATGAAAGTATATCTAGAAATAATTATACAAAATAATACAAGCTTGAAATACATATTTAGATCTTTAAAAAAATTGTTACTTGTCACTTACCCTATTTCTCAACTTTTCGTTAATGAACGGTTTGAATATAGAAAACAACATATTAAATATGTAAGGCTGGTTAACTATGTGCACTGATTTAATTCTGCAAGGAAGGGCTTCCTAAAAAATGCAAAAATGAAAAATGGTTTTCAATTTAAAGTCATAGTGTGTTAGTAGCATTGATTTCTTTTTGTCATATGAGCAAAAATGATCATGTAAACGTTTTCTATTTGTCGCGTTCTAAAATGCAAATTGCAAATCTAGAATGCATGATGAGTTATGATGGTTAGGGATGGGGTGGGGATATTTTGTAAATGTTGAAAATATTTTTACCTGGACCCATTCAAGCAACATTTTGGCAAAGCCAGGCGAGAACTGCCAGACATGACTTAGTGAGAGGCCTTCTAAATCGATAATGACATTGGCACCTGCAATCTGTGTTTTTGGCTCAATTAGGGCTGCGCTGACCACAAGCATGACCCCTCGGATTATTTCGACGAGCGATACTTCTTTTGTGTTCCACTTCTCTGCTCCGTACAAAATACAAAATTAAATTAGTCTGTAATACTTTCTATATAATAAACTCACTTCCTATTTCAACAAGAAGAATCCTTCTTCCGTGCTGGTCTCTGTACGGCATAATCGTGAAGATGCTGTGCTTAAAAACATTGACATCTTTCACGGCGGATAGGTTTTCACAGTATTTCGGATTTTTTGCTCTAAAGTTGAAAAATTTGATAAGCTGTAAGAAAAGCAACATCGTCAAAATTGTGTTTCAATCAAAATTATAATATTTGGCCAAATAAGTGATCAGACTTTATCGAAGGCACTGTCAGGGTAAAATTTGCAAGCTCTTAGAAATGACAGAACGGAGGTTTCATCATCAATTGGAAATACGATGTTGTCCATCTCTAAAACAAAGATAATTTCAATTATGAAAATACTTTTGCATTTGGATTTTATTAATATTTTTTAATGATTCAATATCCTGCAGCAAGCAAATTCCCTTTATTATATCATGTATCTGGAAGATTGACCTTTTTCAAATATTTGGATCAGTTATGACATCATAAAAATGCCAAACAGCCACTAAAAATTCTTTTTATAAGACCAAAAAGCAATATTTATTTTTCAGATAACTTGTAAAAATCCATAACTCGCCAGAGCTTTTTGTTATTAATGGAGTCAATTTTAAAATGTTATAGACTACAAAACAATGCATATTTAGGTGCCTTCGAATTTTCAAATATTATTCCAAGTCGAATTCTGTTAAAGTTGTAAACTTTAAAGCCCGCCAGGAGAACCCCGTTTGCTGGAGTTTCTAGATCAAGGCTGGTAGGTTGACGTCCTTCTAATTATTAAAGACGTTTAATTTATTAGCGTAAATGGTAATTAACGAATAAACCCGTCACAATGCCAGGGTCACGTCTTTTTGAACTTAAGGTTGGCGTACATCAAAATCTAAATTTATCCTCAATTATAGGACGAAATTACAGCTGTAAATAAATAGAAAGATGCTCGATTCAAGTAAAAAGGATACAATCTCTTTTTTTTTATTACAAAATTTAACATATGTTAGCATTAATATTTAGCATAAAAGTGAAATTCTTTATCTTTTAATTGATTGTATATTTTTGCCTTTTTGGTATGGCACTTGCTTTTACTTACATTGCCTGAAAATGATTGAAACTATTAAACTAATGATTTATGTTTTACTTTTTTATATGTTCCTCTTAAATTAAAGAGGTAGTTCGTCGTTTTAAACGAATATCACGTTTGAGAAGTTAAAAACCATTTTGAGATCACACTTTTTGTAATCATATTGAAAGCTCGGTCTGAAAGTCATGGTTTATGGAATAATACCATTTTAAACCGAATTTAACTGGACGAAAGTTGAATTTTTTTACACAACGACTATCACTGAAAGTCCTAAAAAAGCAGAAAAAGCGAGAAAAAAAATCTCTTTTGACCAGACGAACTTCAGAAGTGCGTCTGCTTGTGTATAAAACAAGTCTTGCAATTATAGTAAAATTGGTTCAGGGCTGACTAGCGTTCATTACATCAGGTTTAGCTCTCAATTATCTATGGGTGTAGAATAATAAAAATATTTTTCTCAAGACTTGCTAAAACTCGGCGGATCGCGAAACAACGGAAATAAATCATCGTACAAATTTTATTTTGTAAAATCCGAGTTCTGTATATTTTTAAAAATTTGTTAAAGAAAATAGAGGCTAAATTACGCGAACCGGAAACAGTATACACATTTTAGAGAAAGACGAAAATTAAAAGAAAAAAAGGGGGGGCTTAGCCAAATTAAATTCCACAGGTCAAATAGTTAAAGAATCTTTAGAAAATGCAATTAATTAAAAAAGAAAGATCTTAAAATCCAACTTTTTGCTAAGAATACTTTCAAACAAAATGATTGTTATAATCTCCAAGGATTAAGATTGTTTTAAATAGATAAGAGGTCATCAATTCTGTCTAGTTTTCTCAGTGCATTTCAAATCTTAGTCTATCAGAGCGAATGTGGGTCGATCTGAGGGAAAGAAGGTTGACTACCTTGACCCCCTTGCCAGCAGGAAGGACAGCGAAAAAATGCGCAGAGCAATTTTGGATAAACGTCTATACAATGTTTTGAGTAATATACATACACATTCATATTGGTATGAAGAGGTAGAAGAAGGAGAAGGGAGAGTTCTGAAGAGAAAGGCAACGCTGGACTACATTCATCATCACAATGTGATGGAAAAGCATCATGACTTAGTTTCGTTTCTATGTTGCTCGAATGTGTTTTAGTCCACCCATAAATCTGTATTTAAAAAACCAAAAAAAAAACCTTCTATTTGATTTTTTAAAATGCAATTATTACTGTTTCAAAGTTTCATGAAGAATAAGAATACTTTAATATTCAGGGTGATTCACTACTAGTACAACCAATTATCAAGAATCAAGAGCTTCTACACCTCAAATGCAACAAAAAAGTTCATATGAACCAAGTTCCGATTCTCAACTCTTTAGCAGATATTCAACATTTTATGGTTTTTTTTTCAACTATCTTCAATTTTCGTCATAATTCTATTCGTAGCTCTTGAACTATTGATTTTTGGAAAAATAAAAAAAAACAGCATTGAAAAGAGCGTTAAATTTCCTTTGAGAAGGGTCCATTCGAGAACGTTCATTTTAATTTATGATAAAAAAACAAATTTTTCAAAAACTGCTAAATTTAAAAAATTGAATTTAAAATTTGTAAAAAAAACTAAATTTGCAACCGCATCGAACAAATTCACGGTAGAGCTTGGCAAATTTCATAACAACTTTGTTTAATAAGCTTTCTAGCGGAATACCCTTTTCTTTAACTACATCAAACTCAAAGCAGACATTTTATGCTAAATGGGAAAAAGGGTTGTCGGTGTGAAAAAGGGGGAATGGGGTTAATGTATTAATTCAATTTTTTGTTCTGGGAAAAATTTATTTCCCAACTCAAACTTAGTAAAATGGCACAAAAAGGAAGAAAAATTAAACAAATGAAACAAACAACATAAAAAGAGACAATATACATAGCGAACAACCAAAGCAGAAAAATTGAACAAAATATCGACACTAAAGACATCAAAAGAAGAAAAAAACAACAACAAAAAACAGAACAACAATACAGACTTTTTTTAATTCAAAAACGAGCGAAAAACCTCTGTTAAAAAACCTTATAACAATTAAATGTGCGAGCCATCAGCCAAAAAAAGAACAATAACATAGACCTTGTAAAATCCAAATTTAACCTAAATAAATAACTTTAACGTAACTTGGTTTTTTACTATGTACGTCAGAAATGAGAAAAAAGTAGTGACGATGTGAACAAGGGGAAGTGGTGTTAACCTTGTAATTGAATTTTTTACTTTGGGAAAAACTTATTTCTAAACTTTACTTAAAGAAAAAACACAACAAGAAAGAAAAATGAAACAAAACACATAAAAAAGAGACAATAAACATACTGAACAAAAGATACAATAAACATAGTAAACAACCAAGGCAGAAAAATTATGTTTAATCTTTCTTATTTCTTTGTTGTAAAACTAAACTTTAACCAAACAAAAAATCACAGAAAACCCTGTATATTAATTAATTCTTCCATTGCCTTTTCTTCTGTCAACTCATCAAAAAATGATAAAAAATCGAGAAATACGCCAGTCTTGTTTCGTTTTATATAGACATATCACAAACTAGAGTAAATTGTAAAAATTAAATTTATACCTTTTTCAGCCAATTTAGAAAATATCCGTCTGCGGAAGGTATTTGAAAAGAAAAAAAACCGGTGAAAATAAAATAAATGAAAGAAGTCCATAAATTACTTGTTTAAAAAACCACAAGAAACTAAATTTAACTTAAGGATTATTAACTTATATTTTAACCTTTATACAAGAGCAACAAGAGCACAAAAAATGAGCCCTTTAGAGAGGAACTAATTTTATTAGAAGTAGATGTAAATGTAATGTTCGGGTGTGCAATATACTGCGTTTTGAGAGCTGTTGAATTCCAGGGTTCTGTACTAACCATCCCTTTAAGCACACCGATGAGTCCTAGTTCATCAAGAAACTTGATAATTAAGCCTGGTTTCAGTGGTTGAATTTTTTCTACAGTCACACTGTACATCCCAAAACTCTTCCTTCTATGGGCAAATGTGGAGCGCAGTTTGTTAGTACATGTGTTGGTGACTAGTCGCCATCTTTGCAGAATGTGCACGTGCAGTGTTGGGTTATACCAACCTTCTTCAGATACCTATTCATTCTGCAGTTAATCCCGTAAGGATTCTAAGTTTTTCCTGATGTCTTTGATGCTTTTTGTCCTTTTTCCTTCTAAAATTTACTAGAAGATTCTTGGATTGTGTACATCCACTAAGTGAATTCCACTGTTTCTTCATTTTCATTTTTTTCTTTTTATCTAAGGAACTCATTGATAGTGTGAATCCCTTTGCAACGGAAGGGCTCAGGATGTATTAGCCCTTTTCCTTGCAAGGGCGACAGCTCTCTCCCCCATGTCCTGGAATCGACAGAGGGGGCATCATCTTTGAGCCAATGATCTTTGAACTTAGTGCTTTGATGGTTGCTTGGCTATCTGACATGATAGCCATATTTTTTAAGTTGAACTGAGTACATCTCTCAATTGCATGGACTTCAGCCTGGAAGATACCTGTTCTAGATCCGTCAGTGTGCCAGGAGATAGAGTCCTAACTCTTCTTCTCAAAGGCGGGGAAAGGAGTAATTACTTTATTATTTAAGATTATTAGAAATTAAATTCCTGCACATGCTCATACCACAGCTCACAGCAGGTCGTGACGCGCGTACCGTTTGATAGCTCGAGTGCTTACTTTTCTACTATGAAAAATATCTACAAGTTTTGATCTTGTAACAGTAAAATAACTCCAGTGTAATCGTCTTATATCACCTATATATAATATAAGTGCACCTGACTTCGTGAGTTACATAATGAGCACCTATTCTCTCCTTGTCGCCAAATGGTTGAGTTTAAATGCATTACCTCGCACCTAATTTTGAATAACCACCGAAGATCTGATAAATGCAAACCACCGAAGTTGTCAGTCGGTAGAGATAATCTTTAAGGACGTTATTTTTGCCAGTCGCGTACTTATGGGACGTAAGAGATAACAGGACGACCGAGAAAGTATAAGCAAAAAGTAAATCTGTTTACCTCTCAAGATAAAGAAGTTATTTTAAGGTAAGGTGTGGTCTGAGGTACACACATCTCAAGTATGAAAAACCGCTGCATTTTTGTATAATTTCAAATCTATGGAAGCACCTCTCCTCACAGCTATAATAAAGTAGTGAGTGATTTCCTGCAAGACAAATTGCTATGGTTTGCTCTAGGTGTATGGAAAACGAATGACAGGGAGTGAGTG